ATGACTTACCTCCGGCTCTTTTTAAAGATGGTGGTGACTTTTTGACTAAGGAATTGACGACGTTGTTTACAAAGGTTTGGGAACTAGAGAGTGTACCAACGTCATGGAATGAGTCGATAGTTGTCCCTATCTTTAAAAAGGGTTCACGTCGTTCCTGTAACAACTATCGGGGGATAAGTCTACTTCCGATTGCGTCCAAGCTATTGGCTTCCGTCATACTTCGTAGGTTGTTCAAAACCCGAGAAAGATTGACTCGCGAGGAGCAGGCTGGGTTTCGTTCTGGTCGAGGATGTATTGATCATATCTTCACCCTCCGCCAAATGTTAGAACACCGCCATACTTATCAAAGGCCAACAATCGTAGTGTTTCTTGACATCAGGGCTGCCTTCGATTCGTTGGACAGGACTGTTCTCTGGGATTGTCTATTGAAGAAGGGTGTGCCTGAGAAGTTTATTAACATCCTAAAAGCCCTATATAAAAACACCTCAGGCAGAGTGAGGGCATACAACCACCTCTCTCCATTGTTCCATTCGAGCAGTGGGGTTAGGCAGGGTTGCCCAATCTCACCATTCCTCTTCAACTTTGCCATCGATGACATTCTGGAAACAGCTCTGATGAATGTAAGTAATGGTGGTGTGGATCTGTTGCCTGGAGAAAGACTTCTCGACCTTGAGTATGCGGACGATATTGTCTTACTGTGCGATAATGCCCAAGGCATGCAATCCGCACTTAATCAGTTGGCAATCAGTGTCCGTAGGTATGGTATGTGCTTTGCACCTTCGAAGTGCAAAGTACTTCTACAAGACTGGCAGGATTCTAATCCTGTACTCACCCTGGATGGTGAGCAGATAGACGTAGTCGAGAAGTTCGTGTATCTGGGTAGCTGCATAAGTGCTGGTGGGGGTGTGAGTGATGAGATCAATGCACGAATAGTGAAAGCCAGAGCGGCTTATGCCAATCTGGGCCACCTTTGGCGCCTTCGTGATGTTAGTCTGGCTGTAAAAGGTCGGATCTACAACGCGTCGGTGAGAGCAGTTTTGCTCTATGCTTGTGAAACCTGGCCTCTCCGAGTTGAGGACGTTAGACGACTCTCTGTGTTCGATCATCGCTGTCTCCGAAGGATTGCTGACATTCAGTGGCAACACCATGTCAGTAATGCAGAGGTTCGGCATCGTGTGTTCGGGCACAGAGATGATAATTCAATTGGTGTCACCATCTTGAAACACCGACTTCGGTGGCTTGGACATGTTCTCCGAATGTCGTCCCAGAGAATTCCACGTCGTGCATTATTTGCCGACTCTGGGACTGGTTGGAAGAAGCGGAGAGGTGGTCAGTGCATGACATGGTGTCGTGGCATGAAAGAAAGCTGCAAAGGACTGGCTTGTGTTGGTCCTTCACGACTCCCTGGTTGGGGTCCGAGAGATGGTGCTACACAGTGGCTAGAGACGTTATCAGATATGGCTCAGAATAGAAGCCAGTGGCGATCCTGCTGTAACCTTCTTTTACTTTCTTCATAAAAAGTGGTTGTGTCTCCTTTACCTGAAAGATTTCTTCTGATTGTACCTTTTCGTTCCGTCGTTACTACCACACTACCTTACTCCAATCTCTTCGTTATTGTTCTCTTTTTCTTTTGTGCTCCTTAGTTTTTTTTCTTCTATTTCTCTTCGAATTTCATTGTTTTGTGTGGCGCATATATATTGGCGCTCTCTTGTACCAATATTCATGTGTTCAAATAAATAGTAACCTAGAAAGATTGTAAGTTAGTGAATTTGTATAATCAACCACAGGTCGTATTGGAATATCTGTTTTATGTATTTTTGGTAGCCCATGAAATCTACAAGGGTTACTGCTTTTTGGATATAAAGAAAACCATAGAGATGGTCCCAGTTTGGATTTTAACGTCTGTAGCATTTTTGTAGTTCCGGCTTTCAACATATTCAAAGTGGCTCTTCATTTGTTATGCTTGAAGCACATCCCTAAATCCTCAGATGATGTAATAAAACTCGAGAACAAATCAGCGATAGCATTACACTCGATAGAATCGGGTCATACAATTGATTTCAATGACACAAGAAATGCTTTAATTCTTACAAAGAGAGGCTAACAACCGAAGCCCTATACATATGGGTAAATCCAAACAGCATTAATACGAGGTGGAATACAATTAGCTGTCCCATGGCAACTGATAGTTAATATGTAAACCTGAACTCCTTATTCCATTTTATCTACCTCGTATTATCTGAATAACAGCAATTACATTCAACGGTTCTAATCAGTTACCTTATCTGAATGTCTTAAACAATTAAGTGGAACATTAAAGTAACACAAACATTCACTTGTTGTTTACTTGTATCTTACCATTGTTATTTAGGACTGCAATTGATCAGTCTCTTGTTGGCATATGTGCATCCTGTGTGGATGACCTCGATATTGCCTGAAGTCACAAGCTACACGAACATTCAATTGCAAATACATTCTTCCTCTTTGAATTCATTCCTTTATCTTGTTTATTTCTTTTCATTTTATGCATGCTGTGACATTTTTGATTCATATCATTTATAAAAATTATATGTTTTCTTAGTATTCACCGATCGAAGACAATATATAATGAATGAAATTTCTTCTTCTCACTCACGTATACACACAATCTGTTATCTTAACACTTTTCGCTTCACACCACATGTCTCTTACACAGTAATATAAATGCCTACTTTAAACATTGTTAAGGTTGATTGGATGACCTATTCAGTATACAATGAACCGGAGAACCGTGTACCTATTTATATTCGATAATTTTGATGTTTGACTATATTTCATTGAAAAAGATGGGATCAGATTACCAGGCGAAACGTTGGATTTACTCCAAGTTCATTCTCTGAGATTTTACAAATAGTTTAAAAATCCCCAATAGAATATTCAAAAAAGAAGAATATTTGAGCGAACAATTGTTTTCAATAACTTCATCATCAGGCTCTGCAGTTATAAATCCATAATTATAATATTTTACAAAGGCCAAAATAAGGCATGTATTAATGAATTTGACAATGTTATGTGTTAAAAATAGTGAAAGTTTGCAATATTATAAACATCATACCCCCTCTTTTTTTTATTGCCTCTATCTTAATCTTCACATCAATCATTCCCAATTCGTTTATCGTAATCACATTGATAACACCCCCCTTATTACATATTATATTCTGATAATAATCATCTGCTCACTAGTGACTGACTTCAAGAGATACTCCTGGAGTTCTAGTGGGAAGCCGTTACCAGTGGAGTACAACCAGGTCTGTTGTGAGATATCAATTCACTGAAGACAATGGTATATGGTGGCGCAACTTCGTGGATTGGTTGAAGTTAGACATTAACACCGTTGAATGCCGGCTCAGTGGTCTATTGGTTAAGTGCTCGCACGCGAAACCAGTATGCCCTGGGTTCGAACCTCGCAAGGGGCGACGTCGTGGATGCGCACTGCTGAGGAGTCCATACTAGGACGAAACGGCCGTCCAGTGCTTCCAGGTTTTCCGTGGTGGTTCAGCTTCAATTGACTCATGATTTCAACCAGTGATATCATTAATAATATTATCTCAATTGACAAGATAACATTCTCCTACTATTCATCTTATTCACACAATTTTTTTTATATTTTCATTTTTGCTATAATACTATTCTACTTATTGTGACTGGATACTTTACTCCAAATCATTTTGACCTTTCTAATGTGCGAATAACACAATTTTGAAGTATGTATGTCGTTTTACAAATACATTCTTCCTCTTCAAGGATATTCTTCGTTCATATCTCTGTATTACTCATTTTATTAATAAGGTTAGTCTCAAACAATGGGTACCACTAATTAAAAATACAATTTACCAGATTGTTGTCCACACATTATGTAATTCTTAATAGATTGAATAAAATGGTTAAATGAGATGTGAATTATACATTATTTTTGAAAATAAAAAGATTTTCACTTGTTCATACTAGTGAAATGTTTGTATTTTATCGAATGATAATTATGTACAGTATCGAGAAATTTGGGCAGATTGTAGAACTTTCATGGTTTAAATCACGTAGTAGTAGTAGCAGTTGTAGTAGTAGTAGTAGTAGTAGTAGTAGTAGTAGTAGTAGTAGTAGTATATGAGCTAAATAAAACCACCATTTAAATCCTGGAAGCGCTGAACAGCCGTTTCATGCTACTAACTTGTTCATTGTCATATTGGAAAGTCAGTTAATTGTAAGTATATTTGAAATCATATCTCATATATGAATATTTGCAGAAAAATGATCTTTCAACATTGTCATTTATAACATTCTTGTTAAAAATGATACAATTTTAGTAATATTAACGTGCAACAACTTTCCCACTTGTAAATGAGAATATGGTAATCATGTCAAACAGTGAAAGTTTACTACAATTCCAAAAGTATGTATCATCGAAAAATTTATATTTAATAACGGCAGATATAGGTCAACTGCTTCAAGTCGGTAGTGAAAATCATCTCAAACTGATACTGATCAGTCAATGAAACGTTACATTGTTCAAATCCTAATATTAATGTTGTCCCCATCTGGGTTCTGTGTGGGTCAACATTTACTAATGAAGTTTTGTATACTAATGTAGTTATGAATCGAAATTGCTTTAGAGCATACGTCACTTTAGTCATCGTACTGAAGTGTATAGGACAGTGGAAAATTGTGGTTGTAATTATTACGTATTAGGTTACACGTCAGTTATGAAAAAGTAACGGGATGATAAATATATTTCATGTTAGTAAATGTTTATTATTGAATCTCATGATGGTATAAAAGATTTTGATATTTGAAAACTGTTAATACGGCTCAAATTTTTGTTTTTATTTAAGTATTTTGTTCTGAAAATTTGTTAGTATATTCTTCCCTTTGTTCAATGTTTTGTGAATGTATACTTCTGTCTTTCTTATGATGAGTAGTAGTTTCAATCGTTAATATTGATTAGTTGTAATATATTTTTATTGTAGAATCATGTCATCACTTGTTTAGAAGTATATGAAGAATGGGTAATCACTGGGTCAGATGATTCAAGTATCTGTATATGGGATATTAATACTGGACAGTGTTTAATTAATTTATTCGGTCACCTTGGTGGTGTTTGGTCAATGACTGTTATACCACGTCAATTGTTATTTCTGTCAGAGCAAAAACAATTATCTCAGCATCCTTTACTTATATCTGGTAGTTGTGATCGAACAGCTCGTGTATGGCAATTAGATGGTCAACATTGGCCTTGTGTAGCCACGTTGTTTGGTCATCAATCAACTGTTCGATGTTTAGCTAGTCAAAAGTTACATTCTAGTCCAAAATTTGTTGTTACCAATTCGAACAGTTATCATCGTTCCACAGTTGTATATACTAATGATAATAGTAATAGTATTGGTGATAATACTTCTAATTCTACTATTAATAATGGTAATGACGATGATGGTGTCGGAGATGATGATTCAGATAAAGAATTAACTCACAATATATTTCATAAACAACAAACCCATTCTAGCCATGAAAGCACGCAAAAACAACTTCCAATATTCATCAGGCCAACAGTAGTAGCAGTGACGGTAGTAGTAAATTGTTTCATCCAATTCTATCAAACAATGAGTCTATTTCGACGTTTAAAATGGAGAAACAACAGCAAACTTTTCAAACTGGTCACTTAGTTGTTACAGGTAGTCGTGATACAACTTTACGTCTATGGAATGTATTAACTGGTGAATGTATACAAGAATTCCGAGGTAATTTGTTTGATTGTTTTCTAAAAAAAGGATTTATTAATTGACTTCAATGTTAGTATTATGTCACATTTTAATTCTATGTAACATTGACCAGTGATACAACATTGTATGATCGATATAGGAGAACACCATGGTGTATTGGTTGCTGCATTAAAACATTCTGTTCAGTCCGTACTGTGCACCTGTTTCAACGAATGAGAATAAACTTACTTACTTACGCCTGTTACTCCTCGTGAAAGGTGCATAGGTCGCTCACCAGCATTCTCCATCCAACCCTGTCCTGGGCAACCTTTTCCAGCTCCTTCCAGTTATTATTCATCCTTTTCATATCTGCTTTTATTTCCCAACGTAATGTGTTCTTTGGCCTTCCTCTTTTCCACTTCCCTTCAGGATTCCATGTTAGAGTTTTCCTCGTGATTCGGTTTGATGATTTGCGTAATGTATGTCCTATCCACTTACAACGTATTTTCCTAATTTCCTCTACAGCTGGTTTGTTCTTTGCTACAGAAGTCTGTTGCTGATGGTATCCGGCCAATGGATGTTGAGTATTTTGCTTAGACAACTATTTATAAATACTTATACCTTCTTGATGGTGGTTGTTGTAGTTCTCCAAGTTTCAGCTCCATACAGTAGAACTGCCTTGACGTTGGTATTGAAGATTCTCACTTTGATATTGGTTGAAAGTTGTTTTGAGTTCCATATGTTCTTCAATTGTAGGAATGCGACCCTTGCTTTGCCAATCCTCGCCTTTACGTCTGCATCTGAACCTCCTTGTTCATCGATGTTGCTTCCCAGGTATGTGAATGATTCCACATCTTCTAGAGTTTCGTCATCAAGAGTGATTGGATTGCTGTTCTCCGCTTTGAATTTGAGGACCTTGGTTTTCCCTTTGTGTATGCTGAGGCCTACTGATGCAGAGACTGCTGCTACACTGGCTGTCTTCATCTGCATCTGTTCGTGTGTACGTGATAGGAGGGCTAGGTCATCTGCGAAGTCCAAATCGTCTAATTGGTTCTGAGCTGTCCATTATATGCCGTGCTTTCCCTCAGATGTCAAGGTTTTCATAATCCAGTCGGCCACCAGCAGAAAGAGGAGGGGAGAGAATAGACAGCCTTGTCTGACTCTGGTCCTTACTTGGAATGCGTTTGTCAACTGTCCACCATGCACGACCTTGCACTGTAGTCTGTCGTATGAGTTCCGGATAATGTTGACAATCTTCTCAGGAACTCCGTAGTGTCGAAGAAGTTTCCATAACGTTCTCCTATCTACACTGTCAAATATCTTTTCATAATCAATGAAGTTGATGTACAGTGACGAGTTCCATTTAACTGATTGTTCGACGATGGTCCGTAGTGTTGCGATTCGGTCTGTGCACGATCGGTCCTTACGAAATCCAGCTTGCTGATCTCGAAGTTGGGCGTCTGCTGCGTTTTTCATCCGGTTCAGCAACACTCTGTGAAAGACTTTCCCGGTTACTGAAGGTAGTGTAATGCCTCTGTAATTTTCACATTTGCTCAGATCTCCTTTCTTTGGAATCTTGATAAGATGTCCTTCTTTCCAGTCCATCGGCACTTGTTCCTCACCTTGTTGGTAGGTACAGACTACTTGGTTGGGGCCCGCGTGACTATCGTAACCAATGGTTGGAGACTCTTGGTGACATGCTCAGAATCTATCACAATGGCGTCGGTGTATACACTCCCTGTCTTCCCTTAAACTAAGAGACTAAAATCGCTTGATATCTTTCTTTCTACTAACTAATTCTTTCATCCTGTACTATATTCTTATATGCAATCTTTCTTTTGTATATTACCACCATTGAATTAACTACTTTTATGAATCCGGTGTCCATCTTGTCGTGCTAATGAGGTATGGCAACTTGAACCGATGCATATATGTGCCTGGTCCTACGTTGTAGCTGGCTGACAGACTTTTTACATATTGTTTGGTTATTTTGATATATCTAGTGCTTACAGATTTTCAATAGCGGTCTGCCTAAGACCAGTTCGTGATTTAAAACAACTTATATTCTATTGACGTCTACCATTAGAAACCGGAAACACTAGACAGTCTTTTTTTCCTAGTATGAAGCTCTTCAACAGTGCTCATCCACGATCTCACACGTGAAACTCGAACCTAGGACCTTCGAGCTCGCACAAAAGCTTTACCTCTGGATCACTGGGCTCTCGTCCAAAGGTGTCAGTGTGTAACTTCAACCAACCCACAATATTGCGCAACCATCTTCCATTGTTTTTGCGGTTGACTACCTCGCACCCGTTACTCCACTGGTCGCGGCTTCTCTCTAGAACTCCGAGTATAACCTCTCGAAGCTAGTTATTAAAGAAGATATAAAGATAGTGGCACGATATCGTGAATTGGTTAAAGTTAGACATTAACACTGTTGAATGCCGGCTCAGTGATCTCGAGCTTTTGCGTGAGCTCGAAGGTCTTTGATTCGAGTCCCGAAGATTAGGTAACAAAATATGCTGAGTAATAATTTATTATTATCATTAAAAACAATGTTAATCAATGTTACGAATTTACTGATGTAGTGTTAAGTTAATATTTATTTCTTTACGGTTTAGTGTTACAGCAAAGCTTAAAGATGTTGAGCTTTTTTCGTCTTTTGATAATTTGGAAAAATTGGTAAAAGTTGATCATATCCCGGCTATCGGTGATATTAGGAGTCGTTGCACTGTTTAGAGCTATTTATACTAGTCTCTAATTCGTTGGAACGTTATCGGGAATAAGATGTACTCTTTTCTCTGTTTTTCCGATGTATGTACTTTGATATATAGCAATTTACATGTATTTGCCATGGTTCTCACCTTGGGACGACAGAGGGGAGATTATTTCCGAGTATGTTTCGAATAATTTTGAATTTAAAGATACAACAGAGTTTTACTCACCTAATTTAAAACACCTATGTGCTATGCATGCACAGTCGCCCCCTACCTCGACGGGTGATGTTATCTGATGTGGGAGGTAAGCTGAAAGGTGCGGCCGAATCAAGGCGTTGCATCGACCCGTGATGTCGTTGGAAATTGGAATGAGTCAAATTAATTACTGTAATCATTGCTCAGAGACTTTGTGTGATGTCTCAAAATCGTTTACAATGGTGAAGGTGCGCCAACTTTCTGACTTCCTTTGGAAGCTGAGTTCCGTAATCCTTTTTATCGCTTTTAAATTACTCCTGATACTGTTATTACTCCTAGCACTCTGACATTTTTCTTGATAATTTTATCTCGCCATGCTAATCTGATATGGTAACTTGAACTGATGCACATATATATCGGATTCCACGTTGCATATAACTGATGAAACTCATGCAAACTCTTCGAAGCTTTTATGGTTATTGTTATAACGGCTGGTTTTCCGCGTCTACACGTATGGGACGTTAATTTACCTTGGACGAATATCTACACTAGATCCCCTCTCAGTGTCTATTCTACGAGACTTTAACACAACTCAGATCAAGAACACGTAATTAGCCTAACCACAACGTAAATATGTTTCCACACTAAAAGCCCGACACAACCCAACAACAATGAACATTCGACAATAATAATTATAAAGATAGGGGAATATATAATTCATCTGACACCTGTCAGAATATCTACATGTCTGACTAGCAGACAACCAATCATTATCATTTCCACCCACACATTGGTTATTACGTAATCCATCTTATTATTTTTCCGATTGCAAGTATTTACTCCTCATTTTCTTTATGTTTCTGATTCCCATCTTCGGAAGACCTTACCCATGGTTTTTTACATATCTATATGTTATATGTATGATAGTTGGCATTTCCACATTTTCTCCCGTCAATTAATTTCAAATCATTTTGTATTTCAATAAGATTACAGTTGTAAGCACCTAAAGGTAAGCTATAAAATAATATTAATTAATAATATACTGCATCAATTAAAATGAAAAACGAGAATTAAATGTAGAAAGTGTTTTACATTTGCCCTTGCTTCAACTCAAGGTCATCGTGGAGCAATACGTTGTGTTCAGTTTACTGGTGATCAAATTGTTTCAGGTAGCTATGATTGTACAATTCGTTTATGGTGTGCATTACAAGGTCATTGTCTACGTGTTTTCAGTGCACATACAAATCGTGTTTACACATTATTATTTGATGGTTATCATATTATCAGTGGTTCATTGGATACGACTATACGTATATGGAATGCACATACTGGTGAATTGAAACAAACTTTCTATGGTCATCGTTCATTAACAAGTGAATTAGCATTTGGGTCTGAACAAAATATTCTTGTGTCAAGTAATGCCGATGAAACAATACGAGTTTGGCATATGAATAGTGGAAAGTGTGTACATGTTCTTGCTGGTAAGTCTACAGTGTTTAACATGCTTTTTTGGTATTGCGGTCAGTGTTTACTTTAAATGTTTGTACATGTCGATGATACTTTTAGAAAGGAATCCTCTAGGTTTGTCTGGACGGATGAAAGAATAGCACATGAACATGTTTTTATACAGGTGCTCAGTTACCACCTATCCCATTATACTATGTTGGCCATCATAGTAGCAGGTTGCAAGAACGCTGCGAGCAGCCAAACCACAGTTCAAGAAGTAATGGACTGTTGGATTGTGCCGCATCAGTAAGAGCCACAGACTTGCTGATTTGCACCTGGGCGATGAACATAATTAGTGATTCGAACCATTGTCACATGGCTGAAAAGTTGTCACAGCAACCCAGGTGTGTCCGTTTGTTTTGCTTCCAGACCATTAGTATACCACTACGTCATAATTCTTATTCTATGGTCTGACTATTTGGACGATATTTCTTAGGTTAATTTTTGAGATCATTATCGATATTATCATCTAAGCTTTATTTTTCATCCTCTCATCAGTTTTCTCCCTATTCGATGAATAGAAGTTTGGTAACTGGAGTCTCAGTTTAAACGCTGTTTTCCGCTAACTGGCGATTTATTGAACTTTCCTTAAAGTTGTATGATTGATGTTTTAAAATGGCTTTTATTTTGAGTAGTAGAATCTGCTCATGTCCATATAGAAGTTTCATGATTTGAAGCTAAATTCATTGGAATTGATTCCGGTCGTATTCAGATTAGATGTAAACTTATATAGAATATGGCTAACAGTAGAATCCAGGACGCGTTTCATCGTGTCCGGGATTCATCAGCTGAATATCCGTGCATCCCACAGTTGATGTTCACTTCGAGACTGGAACCCAGTATAGTACCGTTCGTTTCAAACACCAACAAATTATCCACTTGACTGTTGAGTTCGGACAGCCACTTGTTTGTGGAGCGTGTGTGAATCTTAATTTACTTTTTAATAGTTCGGATTACCATGGTTTCAATATTTTGACTGCGATTTCCATAGTCTTGGCTGGTATATGTACATCTTGTGCGGATTGCCTCGATATAATCGTTGCACAAGTGAGTGGCTATCTGTAATCGGTTTCTGAGTGGATAACGCGTTGACGTTTAGAGCGAACGGTACTGTACTACTGGGTGCCAGTCTCGAAAGAACCTTACTTATGGAATGCACGGATATCCAGCTGCCGATTCGTGGATAAGACGAAACGTGCGTCCTGGATCCCACTTCTGGTCACATCCTATCTGTTTTATATAAACTTGTTATAATGTATATTCGAGGTAATCGGCACATAATGCACATGTACCAGTCAAGACTGACCAAACTTTGGTCAAAATATCGACAACGGGATAATTCAAACCGTGATAAAAACTAGTTTGGCTAATATAAACAAATTGATGTAGTGTAAGTCAGAACACTTTTTTTAACGATTAACATTGTCACAAATGTAGTAAACGTACACTTGGCACCAAAACAATCTATATATGAAAAACCTGAATGATTCAAACTTACTAAGCGTTATGTGGAAAGGTGTAGGAGTTCAAGTGATATTTAACACTAGGATGTTCTCTGAAATACGGAAAACCTTTTGGGTTGCGCCTACACACAGGTTGGTCAGTGGGACCTAACTGTGAGGATAGTTAAGGAACACTTATTTATTTAAATCTATAATTCAGACTGATCTTGAGAACACATGTGATATATACATGTCTGTTTCTTGTTCGAATACTCTAGTTTTGAAGCAATTAGTCCCTTTTATAAATTTAGATAGAACAATGAGAAGACTGAGTTTATCTTAAAAATGTGGTGTATTTGCGCTAAACATTTCGAACAATGTGGTCACACATATAACTTGTCAAGGCATTTTATATGAAAATTAATAAAGATTCAAGTGAGCGAAGTGATAATCTTAGTAGTTGGATTTATGAGTCGATCTAAGTTAGACGACGATTGATAACCTGGGTCCGATTCCCGCAAGCGAGACCTTCAGTCTCGCGCGCGAGCGCTTAACCTCTTAACCACTAAGCCGACATCCAATGGTGTCAATGTATAACTTCAACCAATCCACGAATTTGTGCCACCGTCCACCATTGTCTTCAGTGAGTTACTATCTCACAACAGGCACGGTTGTACTCCACTGGTCACGGCTTCCCACTAGAACTCCAGGAAATACCTCTTGAAGCCAGTCACTAGTGAGCACATGATGATTATTATCAGAAGGGATTTTGTGGACATTATAGTAATTTCAGTGGTTGAGACCATGAGTCAATTGAAGCTAGACCACTATGAAAAACCTGTAAGCACTGGATGACCATTTCGTTCTATTGTGTACAGAAACATTTTGTCGTATGTATTTTGAGTTATAGTTTTATGTTGAAGCTTAATGCTGGGTTATTTTTTACTCCAACGTCCTTCTTGTTCTGAACATTTCTCTGGTATGTATCATTTACATCAATATGTCTAGTTGTATCGATGATAGTGTGATTTATTTAATAAGCACAAATTTAACTTGTGGTATGTGGTCAATCGAAGGCAATAACATGACTGATTCATTAAAGGTATTTATATTTGTCCTTTATCTTATATTTTCACAGATTGAAATCATGAGTCAGTTGAAGCTAGACCGCCATTGAAAACCTGGAAGCACTGGACGGCCGTTTCGTCCTAGTATGGGACTCCTTAGCAGTGCGCATCCACAATCCCGCACCATGCGGGCTCGAACTCAGGACCTACTGGCTTCGCGCGCGAGCACTTAACCATTAGACCACTAAGGGCCGGCATCCAACGGTGTTAATGTCTAACTTCAACCAATCCACGAAGTTGCGCCACCATATACCATTGTCTTCAGTGAGTTGATATCTCACACAGACCTGGTTGTACTCCACTGGTAACGGCTTCCACTAGAACTGCAGGAGTATCTCTTGAAGTCAGTCACTAGTGAGCAGATGATTATTATCAGAAGGGGTTTGTGGAGATTTTTAGAAATTTTCACAGATTGAAATCATGAGTCAGTTGAAGCTATCATATATCATCATTTTAATTTAAAAGTTGTTCAACCGTAAAATGATAATACACTAACTATCTACTTATTTGTTGACTTGGACATATAAAGTCCCCAGTTCAGGTAGCTTAGTGGTAACGTCTAAGATTACGAATCAAGTGATAGGAAGTCGGATCCCCCGGGTAGGACTGGTTTCCTTAATTTTACAGACACACCTTCCTGACTAGTTCCAAACAGCGCGAATTCTATATCCAGGGTTTTCTATCGACTGCTTCCAACCACCTAACACACTTTTTCAGTTTTATCAATCCTTTCTAGATTTATGATATTATAAATTCGTTTGTATCTTATACCTACGTCATATAGCTAATTCAATTTATTACTTGGTAATAATATAATAATTTTTATTTGTGTATAGGACCTCATAAACACCAATCAGCTGTTACATGTGTTCAATTAACTCGTAATTTTATAATATCATCTGGTGATGACGGTACAGTGAAATTATGGGATAAGCAGTCTGGTGCGTATATTCGAGATCTTTTACGCCTTGATGGAGCTGGACGAGGCGGTGTTATCTGGCGTATAGTTGCTTCTGAAGAACGTTTAATATGTGCTGCTGGAAGTCGAATTGGTATGGAACCGACAAAATTAGTTATTCTACAGTTTCAAGAACCAAATCTTTGTTCAAAACACTCGAACACTAATAATAGTAGTAATAAAATATCTCATATCTGTCGGCCTAGACATAAATATGCTCCAGAACCGAGACTTAGTCAACTAATATGCACCAATTTCAGTACAATCTAGTATTTTACCATTACTTGTTGGAGATAATTAGGTTAAATTTATTAACTGTTTTAGATACATTTCAATGAAAAGTGTTTGGAGATTCATATTTCATTGAATTGTGTACATAAATCAGCTTGTTTACTCGTTTGGTGTTCTGATTATTGATAATTCTTTTTAAAGGTATGTATTAGCGATAAAGTTGTCACAATCACATCCAATCAATAATCACACAGAGTATGGTAAGTCGAGTTTTTATAATTGATTATAATATCGTTAATGCTTTGTGCAAAAGGTTCCATTGATATTCTAAAGAAAATATTTAACCATGAAAATCTAGACCCATCTCTGGTGTTCGAGCAAACTTCGACACAGTAATTAACGGTAGTAATAATGACTGACTGTCAACGGTTCATGGGAATTTCCGTATTTCATGGTTGACGTCAAAGACTGATCTTAGATAGCGCTGAAGAGCTACTAGGACAAAACAGCTGTTCAGTGTCCCCTTACTAACATAAACCTTTCTACCCCCAACCGACTTATTCTTGTTATCTTCTTCCTAATTACATTTTATTTCAATTCTAATGCCATGTCGCGCAACTCCTCCAGTCATTTATCTGCCTGATGAATATTCAAGCCCTTAAAAACTACAATTACAGCTTCTCAGTGACAGGTGCAAAGTTCAGTAAATTCTTAACAATAAAGAAATTTCCAATTCTTACTCATTGGGATATTAAAAATATATCATTGTTTTGTTATCAACAGGGATATTGTTCTTTATTCATCCTAAAAGGAAGCGTAATGAGCGACAAACTCGACATATTACGTGTTAATCGTGTATTATATTTACTTGCTTTTTAGCCGTATGAAAGTAACCTAAGGTGATATTTTGTTAATATATTATATAATTGTTAGGCCGATTGCACACATAAGAGCGAAAATGTAATTGGCTGAATTTCGAACCTAGAATGAACCAACTGGATTGCTTTTTGAGTCTTCTAACCAGTCAACAACTTAGTTCTTTAAGAAAAAACTTATTAGATCTAATAGGAATGCTGTCACAAGCTTCTCAAATGCTTTAAAAACCAGTGTTTTTCCTACCACTTTTGTAAATTACTAGATCATATGGGTAACAAGTACAAACTTTATATCCTCGGCTTCTTGTCAAACAGTTTGTTTGTTGTTTTCAAATCGACAACCTGACTGTTAGATGCCGCTCAATGTAAGATCGATTGAGGCGGCCTGCTTGAATATCTGGCCCACCTGTTCCTGCCATCTGGATATTTCAACAAGTTACCTTTTTGCTTGTTTGTTTGAACACATCATTATACCTATTAGTCTTATAACCTGTTCAGGTGCGTTTGTGGAAAGTTTACGATATTGCCACACAAATTACTAAAGAGCCCAGTCAGAAACATGGTGATTGCTGGCCATATGCATCGAAAAGAATGTACATTATTCAGATGTTGAGTCCTGAACTGCTAAAATCTAACTGGCGACCGCTCGATATTGCAAGGATCGGTTAAAAAATAAAAGGAAACGTGTTGAAATAATTCATGCTGAAAATTCTGTTGTAAGAAAAACACAATATTGAATAAAGCCACTAATAAGAATAAAACGATTGGCCCGTACTGGGATGTTATTTGTTTCTTAAAAGATAACATGACATTTGCATTTGAACTGCGACATAAACCTTTCCACTGAGATCTCAACATATTAATAATTTACTATCCAAATTTTCCTACAATAATGCTCTAAAATATATGCGTGCTGATTTACTTAACAACTAGTGGTTTTTTCCCTCCTTTGGATTTGGCTGAGACAAGGAATGTAATAATACATTAGCTTAGGTCTTCTAACTCGACAGTTATTTAAAAAGTAGATCACTTTTCGAGTGATATGGAGATGTTCGAGACAAGTATGATCCTGAAGACAGGTTGTTGTGTACAATATCAAGTTTAAGGCCTGGTGAAAAAGTAGAATCGCATATTAGTCATAAACTGATTAGCTCGATAGCAACATAACTGGGGACAAGCCCATGGGATTTAGACCAGCCAATGATTGGCAAGTGATGTACTCGACCACCGTAGATGGATGATACCGTCTAACAATTTCGAACCTTTGACTCATCAGTTAGTACTTACACTCTATGAAGTGCTGGCTCTGTTTAAACCTAGTTCTGAAATAAGGTTGCCATATTAATCAAAAAATTCCACAAATATTATATTTTGACGCGCGCTATCTAAAAAGGACAGTGGTATTGTTTCTCGTTAAATTTTTAAACTGTTTTGATCGTAAATTACGTATCAAAACTACGATTTACACTTTAATTGAATCTACTCCAGTTAAGGTGATATTTTACTGAGTTTTTTTGGCTTTTGTGTATTTATTACATTCGAAAGCATTCTTGGTCTGTATCAAAGTACTTTAGTTAAGGTTTGACATCTTGCTAGAGTTTGTCTTGTGGTTCATACTGTGATCATATTGTGTATTACACCTTAATCAGACTAAAATGGTTGGTAGTACCCACAAATGTGGACAACCAAACTGTTTGTTCCCTGTGGAGGAGGGAATGCAGTGTGACGAATGCAATAAATGGTTCCACAAAATGTGCACCCGTTTAAGTCCCACTGCATATAAAAGATGTTCGAAGCCTAACTCACATTGGCTTTGCATGTTTTGCTGTGCCAACAAGGCATTGCTAATACAGGAGGCTATGAGCCTATTGGCTTTGGCCTGTAAGAAGAATGATGGCATATGCGCCGACAACACGGGCACTGACAGTGACGAATGTGTCAGTGTTGTTACGCGACGCCTCAAAAAACCGACTCTGACCGACGTAAAAGTGAAATCTTCGTTGATATTAACAGGGGGAGTAGTACCACCTAGTACTGACATTGTTAATAATGCACCTTTAGTAGGAACCGTAGATCTGGATAAAACAGTCACCGTTCCAAATAGTCCCAGTGTTATGAGGGATGAAAAATGGACTACGGTACGTAGGAAACGAAACGAAAAGAAAAAAGCTGTAAGCAGTACACAGGCAGTTAGTAACTCACTGGTGGACTCAAATTGTGAGCCACAAATTGCACTACCAAGATCTGATCGTAAGAGTGAAACCCATCCTGGCGTAACTGAGAAGAAAAATCTAATAACATCGAATATTATTGTGAGCAAATTGCGGGAGTCAAATGACCCTGATCCGAAAATTAGACACGCGCATGACTTAGAAAAGCTAGGAGAATACATTCGTAGTATTTTACCAGATAACTCCAAAGGAGTTCAGGTTAAAAAGTTGGTAAGAATAGGCAAGAGGACCGAGGACAATGTTGAACCCCGTCCATGCAGACTCCTTAAGGTAATCCTAGGATCGGAGAAGCAACGGGATCTCTTGTTAAGTAGCGCTCGTTGTCACGACAATTCTGACATCCGAGTTAGACCTGACATATCTCTCGAAGATAGAATAAAAAGGAAGAAAGCACTAGCTGAGCTTGAAACCCGTCGGCAAAACGGCGAGGAAAATCTCCGGCTAGTGGGTTTTCGGATAGTCAGGTCTTGGAAGCGAATGCTACCAAGGCCTGTGTGGATAGGCTGTTCTACTTAGGAGTTTTATATGCCAACGCTCGTAGTCTACGAAATAAGTTCTATGAACTAGAAGCACTAGTGGACAGGTTAAAGCCACTCATAGTAGCAGTGACAGAAACTTGGTTAGTCGATGACTTAGACATTACTCCAGAATTATCCGGATACCATTGCATCAGGAGTGATAGACATAGATGTAGGAAAGGAGGCGGCGTCCTGTTATACATAGCCAATAGCATAAATATCCGCTCCTCTATTAGCGAATCCCATGATAGCGGCACTTGTGAAGTCATTAGCTGTAAGTTGGCTATAGGATGTAGTACATTTATGCTAGGTGTCATCTATCGGAGCCCAATCTGCCTAGCTGATGACTTTGTTTTAGAGCACATTCATCTTTGGAGTGAAAATACCAGATGTTTGATAATAGGAGACTTTAACGCACCTGATATTAGTTGGACTGATATGACCACAGAAGGATCTATAAACTCCTTTGATAGTAAGTTCCTGATGACAATAATGGAGCATGCACTAGTACAGCATGTATCCCAACCCACACGTTTTGGTGTTAACCAGGGTTCTTCTCTGCTGGATTTGGTAATCACTCATGAGACTGAGGATATTGTCGACTTAAATATTCTCCCGCCGTTAGTGAACAGCGATCACGCTGTTTTGTCATTCACGTTTCGAACTAGGGACATGTTATACGATCAGGTTACACCTCGCCCAAATGTATGGAAAGCTAACATATCAGCCATTCAGGAATGTGCTGCTAAGACAGATTGGTTAGTAGATACTAGCATATCAGTTGAAGAAGCATGGTCTGTATTTAAAGGTAAATTTAGACTAGTTACGTCCCCGTTCATACCATACCTGGTACCGCGAAGACCGAATAATAGTCCACCATGGATAACTAAAACGGTCAGGAAACTCCTTAGAAAAAGGAAGAATCACTGGAATATGTTCATCTCTACTGGCTTAGAACAATACAGATCCAGTTACTGTAAGATTAGGAATGCCTGTAAAGCGTTAATAAGTAAAACTAGACTATCATACGAAAAACAATTGGTTAGGGATTCTAGATATAGTCCGAAACGGTTATTCTCGTATATAAAAAGGCGAACTAAGAGAAGTGATGGAATTCCATCACTTTTGATACGAGAAAATCCGTTAATCTTAGCAGAGAATGATGCCGAAAAAGCTGAAGCTTTATCGGAATACTTTAGTAAAGTGTTTTCTATCGGTAATGAGGAACGACCAATGATTCGTCGCGACCGTGACGGCTCGCTGATGGATCCTGTAGTCATTGAGAAAGATACTGTTTTAAGGCTACTTCAGCATCTCAAACCTGATAAGTCCAGTGGTCCTGACGATATTCATCCTAGGATTATGAAAGCCATATCAGATGAAATTGCTGAACCATTAGCGATACTATTCGACATGTCTCTGAGACAGTCCAGACTTCCTAGAGACTGGAAAGACGCCATAATAAGTCCGGTGTATAAGGCTGGGAGTAGGGATTTAGTTAGTAACTATAGACCCGTTAGCTTAACTAGTGCAGTTGTAAAACTGATGGAGAAAATCATTCGGATAGCTGTTATAAACTATGTTGAAGGGCAAAATCTTTTCTCCAGGGAACAACATGGTTTTCGGAAAGGCCTATCTTGCTTGACAAATCTTCTCATTGCACGAGAAGATTGGGCTGCGGCAAAGGATCGGAATGCTCCTGTGGATGTGATTTTCATAGATCTAAGTAAAGCCTTTGATAAGGTTTCCCACTCTGGTCTTAAATTCAAACTGAAACGTTTTGGAATCCATTATACAGTCGTCGATTGGATAAGTAACTTTCTCCATGACAGGAGACAAAGGGTAAGGGTTAATGGGGCTCTCTCCTCGTGGGTACCTGTAAAAAGTGGGGTTCCCCAAGGTACAATCCTGGGTCCTCTTCTCTTTTTACTTTATGTAAATGAATTGCCAACTGTAGCAAAATCATCCGTTCTACTCTTCGCTGATGACATAAAGATTTGGAGACCCATACATAGTATGTCGGATAGAATAGTATTACAGGACGATCTTAGCTCATTGGTGGCATGGTTAGACAGGTGGTCACTAGAAGTAAATCCTAATAAGAGTGTAGTGATGCAGTTAAATAACTCTGATGAATCGTATGACTATACACTACGTGGATTCGTGCTACCCAAAGTAAGAAACTATAAAGATTTAGGAGTCATATTAAGCAATGATCTCAAAACGACTAGTCACTGTAAGGCTGCTGCTGCAAAAGGCTATAGGGTATTATGGTCAATTCGTAGGTCTTTCCAGTATTTAGATGATGAAATGTTTAGATTACTATACCCGATTTATGTGCGACCACATTTAGAATACGGGATTCAAGCAGCGTGTCCTTGTTTCAAATATGAAGCAGATATGCTAGAAAGAGTCCAACGACGAGCTACTAAGATGGTACAAGGTCTATCTGGCCTATCTTATGAAGACAGACTGAGACACCTTAACTTATTTCCGTTATCTTACCGTAGAATAAGGGGTGATCTAATATTGGCCTATCGTATACTGAACGATGACCTTGGTATTAACATGTCTTATCTTTTGCTTCCGTCTAGGACTGATCATTTGAGAGGACATTCGAAGAAAGTTCAAAAACCGAGATCAAACCGTTTACGTCTGGAGTTCCGTTTCTCGCACCGAGTAGTGAATTACTGGAATTCTCTACCGGAACACGTAATATCAGCACCATCTGTTAATATATTCAAAACGAGATTGGACCTCCATAGTATTACAAACTGCAAGGATTAATATAGGTCGACAGACCTCCTATCCTTATTACTGAAGACTGAGCTATTACTATTTGGTAATTGCGAAACTCCCAAAGGATTTAGATAATCACTAACAACTTACAACTAATCACTGAAGCTATTTGGTTCAGGTAGAAAAAGACCAAAATAAGCAAAAGTAATCTCTTATATTTTTTCTTTGAAGTCTAAAATAGTCGGGTTTCAACTTTACACTGGTGCATATGTCGTAAGTGTTTGCAGGAATAATCTTAAGAAAGCAGCTTTAAGTCACCGGAAACAAGATTTATTTCAGAAGCTAAAGCTGATGGGGAAAAATAAAAATAATTTCAAGTACAAACCCGGTCCTATCCCAAGAACAGTTGCGGTGCCTTTAGGGACTTGTGTATGGCCAGCATCATGTATAATTGAATTAACAAGGCCCAATGACTCGGCTTTGTGGGATAGTTCAAGCCTAAAAACAGCAATAGATTAGTCACTGTATTAGAATCATGACTAAATCCACATTTCTTCATAGTTGTCGACTTTAAGTACGATTTTTGGTTGTCCCTGTTCTTCCCATGCCTTTAAAATACCGGGATTTCTCTCAATAATCTCTTCATAACAAGAAACAGCAGCATGAGAACACTTCAAAACTATGGATCTTAAGAGTCTGAGATAATTTACCTGAGCAGCAATCTTTCCACAACCCATTTTAAGATCAGACCGTACTATTAACACTAGTTTCATTTTACCAGGAACAGGCTTGTAATGAGTCAGTTTTGATGCTAGACTGACCTATTATTGGGAGACTAGTCACTTGGAAAAATTGGGGCTTACATTGTTACCAAGCCGACGAAAGATACACCAGCCAACGAAAACACCAATGCCCCCCGACACAATGGAAGTAAGGACAGTTAGATCCATATTGGTTTTGATAGTGAGATTCAAGATAAATGCGGACGTGGATACTGTAAATAGATAAACACTTGTGAAACGCTTCCAAACTAACGGGACAAGCGGAATTTGCAGCGAACGAACGCTGACTACACTAAGTGAATTCAACTGTTTTGAAAAGCATGAACGTTACGTCCTACAGTTGACCAAACAAATACTAAGTTATTTCCATATTTCAATGTTTAGAACTACTGATTCCGTTGCAGATACGATGATCGGTAAAAAAAGATCTGTGATAATAGAAGTGTGCGGCGTCAATCGGTAAGACAGTCATACAGTAGAAGTCTTATTCTAATGATTTATTTCAATATAGCTGTCAAAAACGAGCACTCATCAGCTCAACCAAAACCATACGTCTGGAAAGCTAATACACAAGATACTATACACTCAGCATCGTCAGAAAGGTTGTACAATAGAGCTGAAGTCCTTAATTGAAACAGCTAGGGTGTGTTTCGAAATTTATCCTTGAAGGCTATTGCATACCATATCTCGGGATACGCTAGGGGGCCGAGGAACTCTCCACCATGGTTCAGTAAGGAGGTTCACACTCTTCTCTACAAGAGGAGAAGAATGTGGGGTAAATTTAGGCAACTGGGGACTGACGAGACAAAATCCCAATATCGAGGAGTTCGGGCTGGTGTACATCGACCCTCCGTATGTCTAGAAGTTTGTACAACGAAAAATTGTTGTGGAATCTATAGAATGCACTTGTCGCTTGGGTTCGTACACAAATCAAAGAACTAAAAGAATAGAAAATATTCCAGCGCGATGTGGGGACAATATTGTTTCATCATTAGCATAGGAAAACTTTGGTAAAGCTAAATTATTCTCAAACTACTTGGGCAATATATGCCGTGGAAACACCTTTTCTTTCAGGCCATACAAATCTTCCCACATACATACTGGACAACGTGACTGTCAAATAATTCAATGTCCTTGGTCTGCGAAATAAGTTTGATATAGGCAAATCCACGGGACCCGATAAACTGCATCCTTGTTCACTAACAGTACTATCTAACTTCGTTGTTATCCCCTTGGGTATGTGCTTTAATCTATCCGCTACCCAGAGTCGTCCACCAAAAGATTGGGGGAACGCCATAGTGAATTCTGTCTTCAAAACAGTTACGAAACATAAACCTGAAGACTATAGACCCATTAGCCTAACTAACGTGTTTTCAAAATTTTATAAAAGATTATTCAGAAGGGGTTTTTAAGTATCTCGATGAAAACCGGATTCTTTCCGAAAGGCAGCGTTGTTTTAGAATAGGTTATCCTTGTCGCATTAACTTTATAGTGGCTCGTGAAGGCTGATGCACTCTTAAAGATCATGATTTACCTATAGTTCTAACCTACATTGGCTTCAGCAAAGCATTTGAAAAAGTTCCTCACAACCGGCTGTTGAAGGTGATTTATTCTGTGGATAAAGGACTTGCTCGATGAGCGTCAACAGTGTGTAAGCATGAACATAGAGCTTTCGTGTTGGGAAACTATGCTTAGTGGAGTACTTCATGTTTACGGTTTTGAGGCCAGTGCTATTCCTCGTATATAAAAGTGACCTTCGTAGTCTCATATCATTATAGAGACTCACGTGCAATTGAGTTTGTTCACATTTAATTCGATTAAGTCATTTTGTTAACTTATTAACGAACTGAGTCATCCGTACAACAACAGTAATAAAGATACAGTGATATAGATAAATTGATGTTGAACGGATGACTCAGTTCGTTAATAAGTTAACAAAATGACTTAATCGGATTAAATGTGAACAAACTCAATTGCAGGTGAGTTGCTATATCATCCTCGGTCTTGTTATATGCTGACCATGTCAAGAGATGGAGAGCGATACGAAGTAAGGGTGACATCTTGGAACTTCGAAATGACCTGGAGAAATTATCTGAATGGTCTCAAACCTTGCAGTTGCCGAATAAGTGTATTGTGATGTATAGCGGCCATCAAAGTACAGATACATACATGATGAATAACACTGAGCTACCTGTTGTCCAGAAACAACAACTTAGGAGCCATCGTTAGCCAAGACTTAAAGACTACTGCATTCTGCTGCGCAATAGCTACCAAAGGTTTTAGAACATTATGGTCAATACGTAGGACTCTTAGTCATGTCGACGCTAAAAGTTCCTTGACTTTGTACACAGTGTTCGTGTGTCCGAAACTTGAGTACTGCATATAAGCGGCTAACCCCTTCCCTAAAAGAGACGATGAGCTTTTACAAAAGTTTCAAGAAACCGCAACTGGGCTGATTCCTGGAATGGTAAAGTTCCTGTATGATGATCGACTGGATGAACCAAACCTACGAGTCTACTTTATAACAGCTATAAACGTAGTGAGTTGGGAAGCATGCTGTGCGCCAACAAATGTTGTAATTTTTAGATCGTACCTGTAAAAATGGCATGCACTTGCTCATGCAGAAATATCCTATTATTATTATCTGCTGTCATATTGAAGAACTAGAGGTGGCTTGATAACGCATTTTAAATTACTAAGTGTCAAATTTGCATGTAATGTCCCCTGGTTTCATTTAACTTCCGAAACGAAGAATTTACGAAGACAATTTAAAAGAGTTCACAAGCTCAGAACAAATTACTTTTCAGCTATCAACTTTCCCATCGAATCGTCAACGAATGGAATTCATCTTTCAACACGCAACTGAAGCTCCATTTGTGGATGCTTTTTCAAAGAAAAGTTGGATCAATTGAGAGACCATCTCTGTCGTGAATATCACCGGCAGCCTGGCATCCGTTCCTTTACATAAGAGTGCAAAAGAATGGCGATAAAGTGAACTTCTACAGTGTATTTCGCATACTAGTCTCTGATGTGTTCCTAGCACCTTACAATTCTTATTTTAGAACGCGTCGTTGTTAACCGGTTTTCAGATACCAGCTAAGTTTTGCCTCGATTGTTGACTATCGGGGAAGGTACCACAGTTGCGAGGCTCGTGTCGTCCGAGTGTACGGGAGGAAAATCAACATGACTAGGGTTTTCTTCTAAATACACTGTGTTAACAAGGTCAGTTTTAGCGGAAAAGTTCAGGTTCGAATTGGCGTCCTCACTCTGCAGTGATAGTTGAAGGGCAATCGAAGTTTTTTACCCACTGTTTGATGAAGGTGTGGGTCGCTGTTTCGGGAGTAATGTTCATGATGGGTACTGCTTCTGCCCGTCGAGTGAAACGGTCTACGCAAGTCAAGAGATAAGAGTATCAATTTGAATCTAGTAAAGACCCTACCAAGTACAGATGAACATGGTCGAGACGACCATCGAGAGTTTTGAATGAGCATAGGGGACATTTTTTGTGTCTAATCACCTTACATAGGAGCGTGCCCACTCCGTCACATCTCTATTTATATCAGGCCGGAAAAATCGTTCTGCTATGAGCTTGGTGGCTACAAGCAAACCTGTACGAGGAAACTTGTGCAACGTATCGACGACGCGACAACAATGTTTCGGCACTGTTTGGCAATCCCTACTTGTAGATGTATCACATAGTAAAGCTAACCAACCTGTCTACATCCATTTTCTGGTTGTTGAAGACAGTTGGCGCCGAAGATCAGAGTTTTCCTTTAGGAATTGGGCGAGTTTAAGAAGGTCGTTTCTTTGTAAACTGTCCAAGGAATTAATGCAAAACGAGATGTCTGCAACTGCATTTTTCACCACAGACATATGTTGCATATCTGAAATAAACTATGACATGTGGTCCAATTGTTGAGACGTCTGAGGGGCAAACTCGTCTGAAAATGAGTTTAGAGGTTTATGTTTGGTAAGCTTGGAAACAGAAATATTCATCTCACTACAAAATTTCCGTATTTTTGGGCTTGAATGGGAAGAATGACAAAACCACTTAAGGGGTATTATGGGCATTATCTCGATATATTTCATTTCTGTCATAAAGTGAACAGTATTTGCTTGGTAACTAGTTGGAGCTAAGTTTACAGATTCACTATGGTCGATAAAATTCAGCTTCTTTGATGTAAACTTATACTCCCTTGTGGGAAAATTGCGAAAATTTTACCGATAAACATAAGCAAAATTTCGCAATGCAACTCCAACGGAGTATCACTTCACTAGGATAACTTACAGTAAATAGTCTCCGAAACTTAATGACTGTTTAACATTCATTCTGACATAGTTAGTCCTAAGGAGCTCCCATGTAACGATTGTGCATTAGGAAACAGACTTAGCGGTTTCACACCCATCTCCGGCGAAATAAAACGAAACATCTCTTGGAATCGCTAATTTCTCCTTCCTTATTAATTTTCTCGGCACCATGCTCAAAAGTTCCGGATAATGATAACACTTTCCTAATTTGTCGTATTAATATTTTCTAGTTTACAGTAATTTCAGGCATAATGACCTGATTAAAATTAAAGGTATTCAGAAGGTTCATCCAAGCTGTTTTGGGATATTTTGACACCAAGGATTGTCAACAGAGATGTCAACAATCCAAAACAAGACCTCTCAGAATCAGGAGTGTCTAATTAAACTTTGTCTTTATTTACCGGTCAATTAATGACATTTCTTACTCTTCGGTATCCATCTCTTTCATATTCCATGATATCATCTCACAATCTAAGCAGTAAGGGAAACGTTCTAGCGATTTCAAGAGCCTGGACCAGATCTTACGCCAGACATTTTGTTTGCTATTCGCTACTTAACCATGTAGAACAGACTGCCAGTGAACCTCCGTTGTTTTTTTATTAATCTTAATATATGAAGTCTGGTTATGTTCATATTTATAATTATTACTGTGAATAATATCATTATTGGTCCCTCGACACATTGGGTACTTTTCACGTCACTTCCTTTCATCTAAACATATTTTATTCATAAACATCCGAAGTCTATAACTAAAGACAAACTATCGTGTGTTACACTTAAATTAATTGACGTCTCAGACTCATTTTATCTTCACCACATATATATAACACATAAAAATTTATATTTGATTATCCTTTGCAGTTAATTGTGGCTTTCATAGCATTATTTTAAGTCTGTAGTGTCGGTTGACATGTTAAGCACATATATCTTATTCTAGCTTTCGGACACCCCTCTTTATTCCTTCGACTTGAGTCATATTTCGACCTTGTTAATTATTTGCTTATCAATCTTCACTGTTTTTATATGAGCGCATATGTGTGC